CAAATATCCAATGTGGACACTTTTAATTTCTTGCTTAATCCACTCTTTTTATGGATAAAGTAGAGAAAAATAAAAAAAACAGTTTTTCAAAATTAGAGAGTCCCTCCCATTTCTGTTTGTTAATCTTAAATGGCGGGCAAAATTTCAAATTTCCCGCGGCTTCCAAAACGCAACTCTGATGGGTTGAATTGTATACACTTTTAGGGATACAAGTACAAGATTAGGTTAGTATCGAGATAAAGAAAAAGAGAGGATCAAGCGTTGATCTCGATATCCACCATTCTAAAGTTCCCAGCTCTGATAACGTAATTTCAAGTGACAATATGGCACGGTGGACTAATCCAGTGGGGTCGGTCAAATAGGCCTAGGATTAGGCCGGGTACTGTAAAAAGTCTGAACGCGCCATTGGAGTCGTCATAGTTAGCCCTCCGACAGTGGACAAGAAAATTGACCCCTGTCGTATGTTAGTCTGGTTAGGGCGACGTACTGTACCATAGGATCGGGTTAGTAAACGCTGTTATCTGGCAGGCCGGTACAAACTGGGCAGGTCCTGTTTGAATTCAAATTTACTACGGTCCAGAGTGATACATATATCTTAACATCAATCTAAAAGATGCATAAATCCACAAGTCACTTTTGCAGAAAAACCACAAATAAAAAAAATTTTGAGAAAAAAAGATGTAACTATTATTTTTGCTTTAGAGTTTCTGAGGTTACAGTTGTGAATTAGGCATTAAGCACTAATTAAATGTCTTATGCTGTTTATCCCCTGTACAAACTGTCTATACTATAAACTTTCTCCGTGCTCATCTTTTCAAGATAACTTTGATTTTTCATTTCATTTGCGTTTCTGCAATTATTTTCTGGATTTTAAACTTATTCTTTAGATGCAAGATGTTCTTTAAGTGCAAAGATATCACATTATCTAAGAATAACTGTTACAACGGGAAGTCTAAAAAAAGAGCCATCAAAGTTTGTAAGATGAGAAATATGTAAATTAAAAGCTGATTTTTCTAAAGAATTATAAAATTATAACCACCAGGGTGAAATCCAGGGTAGTAAATCGTAATTAACTACACCTTTTGTGATAATATCATGGAATATAAACCTTTAAATATTGACTATACAGTGAAACCCTTAATAACGAATACATCAGAAGAATTTATCAAATGTCGTCTTGACAATTTTTCAATGAGTTTTACACTATATTACGTAAATTTAAGTATTTGCGAAAATAAATAAATAACCATGAATATGCGGGAATAGTTTTAAAGAGTTCCATATAATCATTTTATTAAAAAACTAAATATCTGCAAGATTCCATTATCAGAAAGTGAAGAAAACGACATTTTATGAATTCTTTCGATGTATTCGTTATTAAGGGTTTCACTGTAGAAAAGAAAAGATTAGATTACAAGGATTAAATTCTTTGTAACCATTCATATGATATTTCTGATTGACAACAGTACTCTTTAAACCCTCGACTGGTGACAGATGTCTGAATTATCTTTATTAATATACAGTTTAAACCAGAACTTCGGAGTTATCAAAGGAATTTATACAATGTCGTCTTCACAATTTTTCAAAGGGTTTTATATTATTATATCTAAATTTCAGTAATTTTAAAAATAAATAGAAAATCATGAAATATGCTGGAATAGTTGGTAGAGTTTCAAATAGTTATTAAATAAAAAAATATATTATATTCCATTATTATCAAGAAGGCGATATTTATAAATTCGTTCAATATCTCCGAAGTTTTGGGTTAAACTCATAGAGAATAGAATATATAGAGAGGAATTTAATGGAAAAAAGTGTAAAACGGCCATTTTGTTGTACTGTTTCCATACTGCAGGTGTACTTCACATATTTATGCTATATAACCTGTTGGGCCCTAGAATATCATTATAAAGAAAATCTAAAATTATTGTTAAAAGAAAACCAAATTATGAAATAGGCTGGTTTCATAATTGACCAATGATCATTTCACATAGACTCTATGCCTTCCACTTTACAAACGATGATTTTCCGTTATAACTGTAAATCAAATGATGTTTTTATTAACCTAATTCATTATAAAGTTTATTTAACAGTTTAAAAAATTCGAAATTGAAATGGATAGTCTAGAGAACATACTGTATTTGTGTACTCTACTGCATATAATTTGTGAACATTTACATTATTTGTACACTTTGAACTCCCTTTCAGGCTGAAAGGGACTGAAAAAATTCATACCGAGAGATTCTTTTAATTCCTCTCTATATATTCTATTCTCTATGGTCAAACTGTATTTTTAAACAGAAGTATTTTGTAGCTTCAATTAGTAATATTATAATCAAAAACACAAATAGATCAAAATCACAATTTTAAGTTGATTGCTTAAGCCGACCCTCTGTTTCGTGGCACATAAAAACTATTGTTTACAGGAATTCTAACAGGTTTCAGTGTATGCGAGTTTAGGGTTTCATTTGTTAGATTTGCAGGTTGTTCCAACCAGGAGTTTTGACTGCAGATCTGTTTCTCTCTCCTTGAGTTCAGATTGCAGGACGGGTTTTCTCTCCTTCTTTCCAGGTGTTTGAGAGTACAGAGTAAAGATATTATGGAAATCTGAGGGAACCTAGAATTAAGAAATAAATAAATTCAAAAAAACATTTCTGTTAATTTGAATCATGAGCAAAAATTATTTACTTTTCTAAACAGGAGTGTAAGCGTAATATAATTGGCTCTCAATTCACAGATACCAATGTCGGATTTGAAACCATAATCTGATCAAAAATGTGGAAGATACATTATTTTTTTTTACTCCATTTTCTCATAGCTATAAGCAAGAAATGCACAAGTCCCTTTTCAGAGAAATAATCAAATCTATATATAAATTTGGCTTGTCTGTCTGTTTGTCTGTCTGTCTGTCTGTCTGTTTGTATCCAATAAACGTCAACGGCTGAACCGATCGGGCTCAAATTTTTTGTGGGACATCTAAAGGAGGGGGCGATAGGGTTTCCGTACACTTTGCTGTGACGTTTTTGGCCTGCTGAAGAACTAGTTTTTGCGTAACAACAATAACAAAGGCAGCCGATCTGATGTAAGCAAACATGAGTTAGTATCCGGTGAATCTTCATCTAACGCCAGAGATGCGCCAGATGTCTGTTTATCATTTGTGTTATGGTTTAAATTCTTTCTTATTGTTGTTACGCAAAAACTAGTTCTCCAGCAGTCCAAAAACGTTACAGCAAAGTGTACGGAAACCCTATCGCCCCCTCCTTCTATTCAATTCTCCTCGGTTAATTCTACCTTTAGAGATTATATACAGGGCCAGGGGCCAAAAAACACTGAAGAATGTGAAAAAAACATTTAGCCAATATTATTTGATTATGTAGTCTTACCTGCACCCAAAAAAGATTCTTACAATAGATGGCAACGTAGAATTCGTACACTCTCAGTACAGCTGTATTCTGACGTCACAAGTGTCAACTCAATATTGTATCCGACTAAATTATTAATAATTGTGATATTTTTAGATATGAGTGCTAATCTTACAGTTAAATATTATTGATTCTATGTGTTATTTTCTGTTTATACTCCTATTTATTTAGTTTTGTAAAACATGTCAACTATTGTGAGAAAATATTGTTTACTTGTTATATTTGACACTTGTGACGTCGTGCATATTTTGTTCATTTCTCTGTTGCCACCTATTGTACTTGATAATCTAGTTGACCTGCACCATGTAGATTATGAACTGAAATGGATCTGTGTACACTGCACAATGTCTGTGCTTCGTGTTCATTGGACCAATAAAATTATATCTTGAGTTTGATGGGTTCCGCTGTAGATTTTTGATAAACGTAATTGGCCATTTTGATAATTGAATAATGAATTTTTATGTAAACAAATTGTTATAAAAGTTAATCTATTACAAATGATGCATAAACCCGTTAAAGGGAGAGAACGGCTATGCAAGGTAGTTGAACTGAGTAAGCAGTGTTGTGGAAAGCTTCTTTAGGATTCATTTGAGACATATAAAACTTTTTAAAGATCTGTAAATCCAGAATTGTTTTTAATGAATTATTAAATAACGACGACAAAAAAATGTAAACAACACTCTACAGTAAACTAATTAGTTGTTTAGGAACCGGTCGAGAAAATAAAAATTAATCTTATAATCGAAAATAAGTAATTTTGTTCAATTATTAGTTTCTATTTTCTCATTATTCTAGTTTCTCAAAGATTTTCTGTAGATTTTCTAGAATTATTATTGAAAAAACGACATTTGAAGAATTTAAAGAAATCTTCCAATCTATAAATAAATTTGGCTTGTCTGTCTGTTTGTCTGTTTGTTTGTTTGTATCCAATAAACGTCAAAACGGCTGAACCGATCGGGCCCAAATTTTTTGTGGGACATCTAGGGACTCCAGGGAAGGTTTATGAATCATCAAAATTTCAAATATTTGTCTCCATCAAAATTCGATCGTCATTAAATTATTAAAAATTTTGAAAATCCGCGAAATTTTTTTTGAAAATCCGCGAATTATTTTTGTTTTGTTTTACGATGTACAGAGAACATGTTCACAACTAATTTAGAAGATGGGCGCGAAGCGCCCTCTAAGGCTAGTAAATGAATAAAAGAAATTTAATATAATGATGAAAACGAAATAATAGATTCTAGCATTGATTTATTCACAAATTTCTTTTGAGAAATATATTCCCAACCAATGTCTTGATTTACCTTGGTCAATATAGGTATTAATCAATTTTACCATTTTGGACTAGTTAATTTCCATAATAGGAAGACGACTTTTGGAATTAAGTTTTAAATTTAAAAAGTCCAATGAGCCTGAGTCATAGCAAATGTGTAGTGTATTTCACTAAACTAGTGACATAATAAATGTCTATATATAGTAAAACTATTTGCTATTTTAACAACATTACATACACTTAAATATTCATATAATTTCCTTTTTCTATTCCATCGGTTTCTGGTGAGTATGCAGACTAAACTATTATTAAACACCAATACAATTTTATTGACAGCTGTTTAATTTTACAATCATCAAATTTATTTCATATCAGATTTATCTTTCCAACTTGAAGAAATTCAAGATTATTCTTCGTTGTTACCCCTTTTTCCTCCTGGACCACCCGGTCTTCCACCATGAGGTTTTAGTTCTGTACCATCAGCACATACACACAGCCTCATATTAGGCTTAGACCCATCAGCACAAGGTTCAACACCTGAAGGTTCAATTTGTTATGGATCGAAGCACGGGTTGAAGAATATTGATTACTAATTTAAAACTTAGAAAATAGGGGAATTTGCCCACTTAACAAAAGTTGTTCTTGATATTGAGATTATAATGGGCCACCGTTATTGACCGAAAGTTTAACACATTTTTAAAATTGAATTCTCTACGAACAAAATATCATGATTTTTTAAATTGTTTGTTAACAAATGGTTGCTTTTTCTACTGTCAGAGTCAAGATTTTTATTTGGCTCGAGTCTTAATTCCTCAGACCCAAGTTCAAGGCTCAATCTTAGACCCAACTTATGTATCAGCTGTAGACAGCTTGTGTCACGTAATCGACAGCTGTCAGCTCTTAGACTCGACTTAAGGAGTTGGCCCAATGAAAATAAAACCGACCTTGGTTGGTTTTACTGGAGATCTCAATGTTAAGTCTTATATAGTCAAATCCCGGAATCCACCAATTCCAACCATGAAAATCCGACAAATACAATATTAAACCGGTTTATAAACCCAAGTCTGGAGAAAATTAGTTGCAACTTCAATCCGAGAACTGTAGCCTTTAATTAGTCTCTATGACAGTTTAGACCTGAGTCTTATTTTTACGAATGTTTTTAATCGTAGGCTCTAGAATATCTCAAAAAATTGGATAATAATGATGTCACTGTGAGCTCTATCTAAATCCTACCGAAAACTCCAAGATTAGGATCTGATCCATCCTCACATGCTCCAGGGCAGGACGGGAAGGTGTTATCATTACATGGAGGTTTGATGAAAGGAGTTGAGCCATCAGCACATGTACAGTCGGGTAAGTTTCCTGTAAACATGTTTTTAAAAACTTAGAAGTTAGAAAATGACTTTGCAATGGAACTAATTAGTTTAAAGAGACTGTACGCGTAAGTTCTCTTCCTAAAAAGATGGCAATGCCCGAATTACAGCTGTAGCCTTGAAAGCTTTGTTTGATGAAATATGAATTATAAAATATCCATGTTTTTGTTTATCTAAACTGTTTTATTTCAATTGTGGTTTCCGTCAAAAAGTGACTTGTGCATTTCTTGTTCATGAGAAGCATTGGAGATTTTCATTCAGAAAACCGTTATTTTCCAAGTTTTAATCAGATTAAGGTTTTAAAGTCACTGTTCAATTCGGGTATTGCGATCGTTAGCCTGAAGGGTCACGTAAAAGTACGCTTAAAATCCCTTTAGTGTCACCAAGTACTGACTAACATTTAAGACTTTAAGTTAGAATTTAAAAACACCTCCAGGTCCGCAGGGTTTAGTTGTGCATTCACAGGATGCATCTGCTCCATCATCACAGACTAATGGAGGTCCATGTCCTCCTCGCTTAGGTCCTCCATTAGGCCGAGGACCCCCTGATAAAAAATTAAAACAAAATTGTTTAAATCTTTAAAACTTAAATAAGGAATGGAGTCTTTGGCACAAAACCTGCCAGTCTTACCCTCTATCTTCGCAAACCTTAGCTATATCAGGTTATGAATTCTGTTATATAAAGCAATCGAAAGTTCTAAATATTAAATGTCTACACCATCCGGTTGCAAAGATATTAGGATTAGAAAATTTAATCTTGTGGGTTTGACAACGGATAAAATGTTTTACAAAAAAAAAGGTGATTGTGGCAAAAAAGTTTTCTTTAAAATCAAAGCAAGGTTTAAAAAGGGAAATGTACTTACTTTGGGCAGACACAACAGCAAGGCAGAGTCCAAGAACAAACAATAATCTCATTCTGATGAAAAAATATCATTCTTAAAATTTCATGAATTATCATTATCCTAACAAATGCAAGATTACATTAAATGTAAAAAATATTACGCAACTTGATTAATTCTTTTGTTTTCTAAATTTCTTTTAGAATTAATACCGTATTTCTTTGACATTACAATTATAGAGAGAAAAACCGGTTTCAATTGAGCGCCGGCTTAAATCTTGGAACATTGAATACAATTTTAAGTGGAGCCTGGAGCCGCGGCTCAAACTCATTAAATTCGAATTGTCAGGTTGTTTTTGATGTGTCTAATTTAACCTCACAAACTTAAGTATACTTTTTTTGTAGCCCTAAACATGTACATTTTAGTATTATAATGAGCTTGTTTCTTACTTATGTTTTAAAGGAGTAATTGGCCAAATCCTGTTCAAATTTTTTGCCTAAAGAAATTTATTTTGATAGAAGATTTTACTTTTAGAATATCTGGGGTATTTGTTTTTGTAATCCAAGATTTCGCCTCCAAAAAAATATAAATTCTTGCAATCAATAAGCTAAAGGTCATTTTGTTGTTATTTTGTTGTTTAATTTACGAAATAATAATTCACCAAAGGAATTGAGTTTTTGCCACAAACTCAAATCTTCTTATCCCAATATCTTTGCAACCTGATGGTGCAAACCTTTGATATTTCAAACTTAGATTACTTTATCTATAAGTATTAAAAGTTTGAAATATCTAAGGTTTACGACATTGGTATACAAAGATATAGAGATTAGAGAATCAGAGTTTGTGGCAAAAACTCAAATCCTTTGTTTCATATTATTGTAATTGGTTATTATCCCTTTCAGAAACAGTAAGAAAAAGATTCACAATTCATTTATTTACTAAACACAAAGGACAATGAATACAATGTATTTCAATCAAAGTATTTTTAAAACTGCTAATTTGCTTCTATTTTGCTAATTCAAACGAAAAACACTGAAATATACCAGAAAGTGTGCCAAGAATAGAAACATCTTATACATTTGTTTCATATAAAAGAGAAAAATTTCTAAAATATTCTAAAATTGGATTTTTTTTATTTGACAATACAATTTGCCTAAAATAAATTTTTCATTGCCGATTTAAATTTAAATTTTAAGTGATATTACTGTTAATGTACTTACCTTAGTATGGTTGTAAATGAACTGAAAGCTTGCAATGATGAGCCCAACTTAAATACATTACAGGGTGAGTTGGGGGGGGGGGGGCCCCAGTGTTCACAAATGGTGTTTACAAATGTAAATTTTTCAGTTTACAAAAATATCTCTATATTAAAAGTTTTTTTAAAAGAAACAAAATATTTTTTCTCCAATAATTTTCATTTTTTATATTAAACTATAAATTGTACACTATTGTGAAGTGAATCGTGACTTGCTATTTTTTTACCCGATCTACGTTGCAATTGCATAGTACTCTAGAAAGCTCTGCAAAATACTTTTTAATTGTAAAAATGATTTCACGGTTGGGTGATTATCATTGTAATTTTACTATTCATAGGGCACGGTAATCCAGACAGGCTAGTTTCAACACGATAATCCAGACAGGTTGGTTTCAACACGATAATCCAGATAGGCTGGTTTCAACACGGTAATCCAGATAGGTTGGTTTTAAAACGAAAATCCAGATAGGTTGGTTTCAACACGATAACCCAGATAGGTTGGTTTCAGCACGATAATCCAGAAAGGTTGGTTTCAACACGATAATCCAGATGGGCTGGTTTTAACACGGATATCCAGATAGGTTGGATTTAACACGGTAATCCAGTAAAATGCCTTAATTAAATTACTGTAATGTTTATTTTTAAATTATTTTTAAAACGAGGCCCAAATTTTATATGATGCAAAAAATTACTAAGCTTGCTGCAACCATGCTATTTGGGTTCTCTCCAAAGATTTCGAGTTTAAGGCTACGTATGTTGGTTGGTTGAATTTTAGAATATTCGAGATAGTTTTGCAACAAATAGAAGTCTTGAATTTGATTTGAAGCTGTCGAATTTTTCTGCCAAAAGCTTAACAGGGATATTTACAGTTTACTAAAACATAATAAACATTTTTGTGTCTACAGACAAACCTTTATCGGGAGTAAAAGTTTTCAAAATTATTTCTTTTTGTGAAGATAAATAAATAGCCCTGAAATACTTGACACATGTTATTCAACAGCGACATAAATGTCCGATTCGTTAGACATTTTCTAGCTATGCTTTGGCTGTGACTTCCTCGCCTAGCTAGCCTGGGAAATCGCAGCTAAATCACAACTAGAAAATGTTTAACGAATCGGGTAAAAGTTGGGTTATAATTCATAATTTATATCATAAAGTATTCAACGACATAACCAAGTGAAACGTGATAAGGACGACATTTTACAAATTCTTCCGATGTATTCATATTACTGAGAATATGTACTAGAGCACCTTTTTGAGTTTTTTAACGTTAAAAAGGGCTGAAAAAAACCTAATCTCGATTTTTTAATCTTTAGCAACATGTTTTATGGCCAAGAAATAGAAAAAACAACATTTGTTTCATAGTTTTATGGTTCTCACTGTGTGGTATATTTCTAAGTTAGATAAATTTAAAATGAAAAATGAAATTAAAAACTTGACTTATTTTATCCAAAGAAGCTACTCGCCTTACCGGCATACATTTGAATATATGAGCTGGGCCAACCTTTGCAGTCCTACTTTGGACAGTACCGCCAATTTACAATTACTAAAGCGGCAGAGGAGTGTGGCTAAGGCATACGTTTGTTTAGTTTGGCTTGGGACGGTTACTATGCAGGCCCTTCTTCGATAGCCCGTAATGGTCTTTAGCCTGTAGGCATAACTTATATAAAGAAATCATGATTTAAAAGTTTCCAAATCGAATATGGAGATCAATTGATCAAGATTTACAATATCCACACTCAAGTTCCGATATCTAAATAATTTTCTTATATCTATGTTTAGAATATATAAATAAAGCTTTTTTAGGCCTGAGGAATTATCATAAAATGGAAATTAAAGCCATTGCATGGGAAATTAGAGCCATTACATGATAAATTAGAGCCATTACATGGGAAATTAGAGCCAGTACACGGGAAATTAGAGCCATTACATGGGAAATTAGAGCCATTACATGGGAAATTAGAGCCATTACATGGGAAATTAGAGCCATTACATGGGAAATTAGAGCCAGTACATGGGAAATTAGAGCCATTACATGGGAAATTAGAGCCAGTACATGGGAAATTAGAGCCATTACATGGGAAATTAGAGCCATTACATGGGAAATTAGAGCCTACATGGGAAATTAGAGCCATTACATGGGAAATTAGAGCCAGTACATGGGAAATTAGAGCCATTACATGGGAAATTAGAGCCAGTACATGGGAAATTAGAGCCATTACATGGGAAATGATGAATAAGATTAATGTAGCAAGTTATCATAAGATTAATTGTGTTCCAAAACCATGATAATTTCTTGATAAATAGATAGTGACATGATTTTAGATATATTGCGCGCGGCATTTATTCTGTAGATTTAAATTTACATTTTTATTTGATCTGCTTATACATCTCTTATCCACCCCTCCCCACCCCTCCACCTCCTCATATTTTTAGTATTATTCTCAATTGCATTGGCTCTATTTTGTTGCTGGGAGAGCAACTAGATCATCCTAGCACCAACTCAAAACTACTTTTTAATGGATTGAAACTTCTTAGAAATGTTCTAGCTGTGGAGGTGTTGCTTCTCCGGGCATGGATGTTTTCTTCCATTTAAAGAAAATGAACATTACAAAAAATGTATAGGCCAAAGAGACACCGATCACAACTCATGATTCCTTGGACCAATTTGCCTCAAATTTTAACTGGAGAACTGAGGAGAACCACGGGAATGTTCTTAGCTTGGTTTTGAGATTCTCAGTTGAGTGCGTCGATTTTGATAAGGAAAAATAGCCAAAATAGTAATTTCAGACCAAGTGCGGGTAAACGGCGGGAGTAAATAGGCAAAGCTGTTTCCAATCGTCTATCTATTATCTATTGGTTAAAATAATCACAGAAGTTGATGAGTTTGATGCATGCCTAAATCACTAGCTTTTTCTAGCTTTTATGACATACAATTGAAAATGTAAAAATCTGTGTACGCATTTGTTAACAATATAAAGAAAAAAAAATACATACTTTAACATTTTTATCTAAGAGATTTATGCAGCAGTAACGAGGTGAGAAAATAAAATCAATGAAGAAAAACTATGATATCTCCTGCATTGATTTTCAGATAAATATTTGAAAGGGTGCTGTTGTGAATCAGATATTTTACCAAGTTGGAGAGTCCGTTTAATCTTTAAGTATGTTAAACCTATTTTGTTATAAAAGCTTAAAGAAAATATTATATAATATGGATGATAAAAATAACTATAAGGATTGCATGAGCAGTAAACAGAATTAACAATATTTTAGCTTTTATAACATTCAAAATCCTAACATTTCTCCCCCCCCCCCCTCCCTACACACTCTTGTATGAGGAGATTTATTATATAATGTTTCAGTACCAATACATTTAGCTCAATCTAAAAATGCCATTGGAAATTGTAATTATAAATGATATCAATGAATTAAGTTTTTGCCACAAACGCTGATTTTCTAACCCCGATCATCGTTGCAAACAGATTTCGACCTTTGATATTTCAAACTATAAATATTCAAAGTCAGGTTGTAAAGATTTCAGGATTATGGAATTTATATTTGTGGCAAAAACTCAAATCCTAATTGATAATGTAAATTTGAGTGAATCACAATATAAATAGGTTACACTGGATTCACAAAGGTATCCTTAAGATCATAATATGATCAATATTGTGGAATCATAAAAAAAAGAAAAAAAATGTGTAGATCTAATTCGTACTTAGCCAAAGATTTTAAGATTTTGGTGAGCATCTGACATGCCCCTTTTTCAATGAAGATACACTTGAAATTACTTGTACAGCCTCATTTTATAATGTTAAATATCTAATTGTAAATAATGTTAAATAATGTTAAATAATGTTAAATAATGTTAAATAATGTTTAATAATGTTAAATAATGTTAAATTATGTTGAATCACGTTTAATAATGTTAAATAATGTTAAATAATGTTGAATAATGTTTATTAATGTTAAATAATCTTAAATAATGTTAAATAATGTTAAATGATGTTAAATAATGTTAAATAATGTTAAATAATGTTAAATAATGTTAAATAATGTTAAATAATGTTAAATAATGTTAAATAATTTTAAATAATTTTAAATATTGTTAAATAATGTTAAATAATGTTAAACAATGTTAAATAATGTTAAATAATTTTAAATAATTTTAAATATTGTTAAATAATGTTTAATAATGTTGAATAATGTTAAATAATGTTAAATAAGGTTTAATAATGTTAAATAATGTTAAATAATGTTAAATAATGTTAAACTTAAATAATGTTAAATAATGTTAAATAATGTTAGATAATATTGAAAAATGTTGAATAATGTTAAATAATGTAAAATAATATTAAATAATGTTAAATAATGTTAAATAATGTTGAAATAATGTAAAATAATATTAAATAATGTTAAATAATGTTAAATAATGTTGAAAAATGTTGAATAATGTTAAATAATGTAAAATAATATTAAATAATGTTAAATAATGTTAAATAATGTTGAATAATGTTGAATAATAGTTAGTCTATAATTGTAAATACTGTTAAATAATGTTAAATAATGTTGAAGAAAAAATGTAGGGGATAAAACAACATTTAATAGAAAACAAATTTCACTTCTGAAATCTTACATTGAATACAGTTTTTAAGTCTTAAAAAGAGATGGACATTGGACACTGCGGATAGAAGAGGTTGCTTGCTGCAACCAGAATATGATGCATGCTGCGGATAGAAGAGGTTGCTTGCTGCAACCAGAATATGATGCATGCTGCGGATAGAACAGGATGCTTGCTGCAACCAGAATATGATGCATGCTGCGGATAGAAGAGGTTGCTTGCTGCAACCAGAATATGATGCATGCTGCGGATAGAACAGGATGCTTGCTGCAACCAGAATATGATGCATGCTGCGGATAGAACAGGATGCTTGCTGCAACCAGAATATGATGCATGCTGCGGATAGAACAGGGTGCTTGCTGCAACCAGAATATGATACATGCTGCGGATAGAAGAGGTTGCTTGCTGC